GGGGAAGGGGTGCTGTGTCCCATCCACGGCTACCACAGCCCATCCATGGATGCCATGTCCCGTCCATAGGTGCCATGTCCCATCCATAGGTGCCACGGCTCATCCATGGGTGCCATGGCCTCGGGTGCTGTGGGGGCTACAGCCCATTCAGCATTTCCTAGGGCTGGTCTCCAGCTCCCTCCGGCTCTACATCCCTGCCCTGTCCCACCCGGTGACTTCTGGACCCGTGGCATAGGTCAAGGGATCCTAGAGGCAGGCCTCGGTGCTCTGAGACTGAGTTGAGGGTGTCAGGGCCATGGGGAGGGAAGGAGCATCCTGAGGTGGGGCAGGATGTCCTGGGGTAGGACAGGACATAGAGGGAATTTGGCTTTCTTTTCTGTCTTACCAAGCAAGTGTCTCTGAAAAAAAAAATGTCAGGAAAGGACAAAGTCCAGTCATAAATTTTAAGAGTCAAACAGCAATGACAAAAATGCTCCAAGCCTCTCATGGATTGCAAACTTTAAAAAGGAATTTTCAGAGAAAGCTGGAACCAACTCAGTGAAGCATGAGAATATTTCTTACTTCAGCAGCCTCAAAACGTGTGTGACCCACTTGCCCAGGCTGGAGCAGTCCTGGAGAGGATTTACGAGTGCTGCAGAGCAGACTGCTACCGATATGGTTTGTGGGGCCAACTTCTCCAAAGAGCTCAGGAACGTGCAGTATGCACGTGCCTGCTGGGCTGTGGGGGAAATCATAACCCCATGGAGAGTGCCTTGGAGAACATGGCTGCTGGCCAATCCACCACCAAACTGAGTGAGGAGCACCTGTTGACATCCTTGCTTCAGCCCTCCCACTTGCCAAATTTAAGGCATTGACCACATCCCTCCCAGGGACAGCCCTGGCACTCACATCTCGCAAGTTGAAGGTGATCTCTAAGTTGCTCCAGAAGTTGTCAGAGAAGGCTGGGTACATGTCCAAGACCTCCAGCAGGTCCTCCCTCTGGATCTTGTGCAAGTCGCAATAGGTCAGGGCTCTCACATCGGCATTGGACTTCCCTGGGCGGGCGTAAAGGCTGATGGGCTCCCCAAAGATGTCGTTCTTTCCTGTGCCAAGAGACAGCTCATTAGGGGGAGGTGGGCACCCACCCCAGTTCCAGATGTACTGGACCAGCAGACTTCATTTTGGGGCTCATGGACAAGGGGATGCCCAGCAACTCTGACCCTGGTTGTAGATGCTGGGGATTACACCGTGAAAGCCATCACTGATGGGTAGACCGAGCCAGGGGTCATCAGTGGTGGTTGTGGACTGCTGAGCCATGGCCTGCTCTCCTCACTCCTTTGTGGCCTCTCCCTGGCATTTACAGGGAATCTTCCATCCCCTGTCCACTGGTGCATCACCAGCCAGATGTTGATGAATAACCTTCCCTTCTCCAGAACATGAAGTCCTTTGCCCCTCACCTACTACCCTTGGTGCACTGCTCATTGCACATCATCCTTCACCCATTACCCTGTGCCCCTTGCATACTGCCCCTCGCCCTCCCAGAAGGAAGGACTTTTCCACCTAAGATGGCCACCACAATGTCTTCCCGGAGAATCTCGATGGAGCCCCGGGAGATGAAGTAGAGTGTGGTGAGGACATCTCCGTAGTGCACCAGGGTGTCTCCAGGTGGCGCGTGGGTCGTCTTGAACTTCATGGCCAGGGCACGCAGGCAGCCTTTGCTGGCTCCTCGGAAAGCCTTGCAGTTCTGGAGCAGCGTGCGGTTGAGGTGGAGGCAGATGTCGGCCTGCAGGCAGTCAGGGAAACCCTTCAGCACCTGCGGAGAGCGAGGGAGAGATGCTGTCACCCCACCATCCCTGGGAAGGGCTGCCATGGCAGCCCTGGGAGGCTGTGCGACGCAGCGTGACACGGCGGGGCCAAACAGGGAGCCCCCAAGCCCAGAAAGCCAAAGCTGGGGACCTCTTCTGATCTTCCCTTGGTGGAAGCCTGCCTGCCTGTTGCTGTCTTGTACTGCATGTGGCTGGCGATGAGAGCGCTCCCAAGCAATAAATAATAATAAACAATCAATCTATTTATACCCATTGGTGGCATATCCCTCTTTTCATCTTTACACCCACTAAACTTGGCTGAATGAGAGCATAAACTGGTAATGAGGTGCTGTCCTAATTAAACGGCACCTGCCTGAATGCCAAGAAGCAGCACGGGCCAGTTGTGTGCACCAACAGTTAAATATACCCATGGCAAATACCTCATGTTGAACAAAAGCTAAATCTGAAGGTGAAATCAGGGTAAAATTTTTGATATGGAGAAAGCTGTTGCCACCGGTGGCTTGTGGTGCCAGGGTAAAATCCACCTGAGTTTGGGATTTTGTTTGGAGAGCAGCATAAGGCTCCAGGATCTCCCTTGCTCTTACACCCTGCTGGTGGCCAAATCTGGGACAACCAGGCCAGGGCTGGTGAGCGCAGCTCATTCCCAGCTCCATCATGATCTCACAGGCTGGCAGCAGTGCCTTAGTTTCCCTACTGGGAAATCAGGGGCAGATGAATTGATCAGGCCATGGGATGATTGATTAGATCGTATTGCGTCTCAGCAGAAAACAGTGTGAGCAGTGGCACGTCCAAGCTGCAAGCTCAGCTTGTCGCGGGAGATTTGTGACCTGGGTTCACACTAAGCCAGTGGAACTTGTGCTTGGTCGAGTGCCATGGCTTGGCTTCTAGTTATTACCACTGGTGTCCAGCCCAGGATGTCTCCTCCATGGAAGAGGTTTACCCCGAAGCTCTCCCGGTGATAAACCCCCAAATGCTGCCCAGTTGTTTAACAAGGTGGCAGCGGCAGCTGAAGATGGAGTGGTTGAATTAATGCAAATCTGTGTCCCAGTAGTGCCCAGGGACAGAGAAGGATCAAGTCTTAGGAAAAAGGGGAGCATGAGTGAGCAGGCTAACGGCCTGCCCAGGGCCAAGAGACGGGGAGTACCAAGTCCCATCTCCCTGCTTGCCTCTTCCTTTCTCATTCCTCGCTCTGTCTTGCAGCTGGCCGAGCCAGCACGTTTGTGCACCAAACCTGTGGCCATGAGCTGAGTCCTGCCACCGTGGCCCCAGCCTGGGACTCCTCAGCTGAGCCCCCTCCTCACCCCCGCGGTGCCCCGGCGCCGTTGGCACAAGCCTTCCCACCAGGCTCGGAGACACGGCGCCTCCCCAGTGCAGCTTCGCCATTGATCTCCCCTTTGCTAGCAAACAGCCGCCTCTCTGGGCTCTAATTAAAATGGATCGAGGTTTATTTAAATGCCCTCCTTTCCCTGCCACTGAGAGCGGGATGCACTTTGCTTAGCAACCGGCGGTGTGGAGAGGAGCTGGATCGATACCGGCTCCGCGGCTCTGTGCCACCAACAGACACCGGCCTGAAAGTCCTCGGCGCCGATGGGAGCTCTGAGCTCCTCACCAGCATGCCGGCACCAAACCCGTTCTCTGGCCAAGAAATGCTGTCATGGCCCCAGAAAACCTCTGGGTAGATGTGAAGGGATGGAGAGGGGGAGAAAGGGAGATGCAGGAAGCAAACGGGCAGACAGACTCTGTCTCCAGCCTCCCAAGTCTCCACCTGCCTCCTCTCCACCCTGATCAAAAGGATGGAATGTTTGGTTGGACCCAGAGCTAGACTCTGGGTCGTTCATGACGAGATACCGTGAGGACATGAGGCCTCCTCGCCCCGTACTCACCGCATTCATGTCGATGCCGTTGGTGTAGGACCAGGCGTGCTGGAAATACTCCTCCAGGCGCTGGCGCAGGGGGTTGGGGATCTGGTGGAAGCGGATGAACTCCTTAACGCGCAGCATCTGCGTGTGGTAGCGGGCTGTGCCCGAGTACAGGCGCTGGATAATGGCGGAGACGTTGCCGAAGATGCTGGCATACATCAGAGCTGCAACGAGAAGACAAGACTCAGCAGGACATGGGGAGCCATCTGTGTCCAACTACCTCAGACATGGAACCAGCAGGTTTCCAGAGTCCGTTATCTACCATGGACCTGAAACCAGTGGGTTTCTGAAATCCGTATTTCTATCTATCTATCTATCTATCTATCTATCTATCTATCTATCTATCTATCTATCTCCCTATCTGTTTGTCTGTGCAGAAGAGGCACAGGCAGAGGGAGATGCTCTCTTAAAACCCCACATGCTACAGCCTGGTAGGTCTCTCCCTGTTTCTCCCCAAAGCAGCCCCTCCAACCTCCAAGGGATGGGGACAGGGGCAGGCACTCACAGCCAATAAGCATGACACAGATGGAGAAGATTTTCTCAGAGTTGGTGTTGGGTGAGACGTTGCCGAACCCCACGCTGGTGAGGCTGCTGAAGGTGAAGTAGAGGGCAGTGACGTATTTATCCTTGATGGATGGCCCGGAGGAGAGATCACTGTCATTGTAGCGCTTGCCGATCTGGTCACCCAGGTTGTCCAGCCAGCCAATCTTGTGCTCCATGTAGGGCCGCTCCACGTTGCCAATGGCGTACCAGATGCAGGCCAGCCAGTGGGCGATGAGGGCGAAGGTGCACATGAGCAGGAAAAGCACGGCTGCTCCATACTCGGAGTAGCGGTCCAGTTTGCGGGCCACGCGGACCAGGCGCAGCAACCGGGCGGTCTTCAGGAGGCCAATGAGGGTGGTGGTCTGCAGTAGAAAGGTGAGAAACCTCAGGGACAACCAAGAGATAAATCTGACCAGAGGCATGTCTCCAGCCTAGCTGTGCTCGCTTTGAAGGATAAAAATGCCTTTCTAGAGCATGAATCACCTTGTCCTGGAGGTGACATCTGAAATAGTTTGGGTGAATCATGCCACAGAAAGGGCAGTTTCCCTCTGCTGACCATAAAGGCAACAAGCCCTGCGATTACAGGTAGCAAGTGAGAGGAGCCAAGGCCAACCCCCTGTCTCCTGATGAGTCCTCACCTTGCCAACCATTGCTCCCAAAACAGCTGCATTTCACTCCATCCCACAGGCTCTTTGCCAACATTTTGAATCTGGCTGGCAATGTGACCCCAAATTTGGCCTTGCTGGAGTGTGGGGCCAGTCCCTAAACTGAGCTCCCAGCCTGCTCTGCTGGGACAGCCCCAGCAAGGGAAGAGGGTCCAGTTAAGCACTGTCTTGGCACTTACAATAGGGCCTGTGTGGCTGTCTGATCCTACTAAGTAAAATCCCAGGTCCCAGCTGCTTAGTAAAAACCTGTAATTACGTCCTTGTCCATGCCTCTGACTAACCACCCCTCTCCTTGCAGATCTAGCCATCCACCGCATACATCAAGCCATCCATATCCCTCTCTTTCTGTCCCATACATCTCTCCCTATCCATCTGTGAGTCCCCTCCTGTCCTGTACCTCATCAGAGCCGGAACGGAAGATGAGCAGGTCAAAGGGGATGGCAGCGACCATGTCGATGAGGAACCATCCCTTGAAGTAGTGGATGGCGATCTTGCCAGGGTGGCTCACCACCTCGTCGTTGATGTTGACGTAGGTGGTACGGAAGTTGATGACGATGTCCACAATGAACATGATGTCCACGATGAGGTCAATGATGTTGAGTGGGTCACAGGAGTAGCTGCAGTCCCAGTGCTTCTCCTCCACCTGCTCCTCATTGAGCAGGAAGGCGGCTGAGTAGGGGGTGAAGACGGCTGTGTAGATGACCAGCAGAAGGATGAGCCAGTCCCACACAGCCTTGAAGGGACTGTAGTGCAGGATGGTCCATCGGTGGATGCGTGGTGCCTGCAGCTTGTATTCAGGAAGGACGTCGGCACCCAGGGACAGCACCTGCCAGGAGATGGGTGTGAGAAGGACAGGAGACCAGGAGAGGATCGAGAAGGCCAGAAGCCAGGCAAGGGGCTTCCACATGCTGGTAGGGCAGTGAGGAGCGTGCAGTGGGTTTCCTACACCCTCTTCACCTTCGTTGCTTTCGTACGTGTCTGTCCAGGAGGCCACAAGATGAATTGCCCACTATGGCTTACACCAAGGTCTGCCCAGCTCCTTGTCTGTCTCTGATGGCCAGAGCACCCTTGAGGCAGCTGTTTACCTCCTTTATGCCCTTCAGACCCTACCATGCCGGCAGAGAAGAAAGTGCCTCCTGCTGTGTCTCCTTCTGCCCACAGCTCTGTGCCACCAGCCTGAGCGTTGGGTGTCCCTGGCACAGGGCTATGGGGATGGGCAGCTTGGAGATGCAGTCCCACAGTTGTGCCATGACCTGGCCCCGAGGGTGATGGCACATTAGGTGTCCTGCAAGCCTCGCATGGTCCCTTTCTTGGCCCCAGCAGGGACCTTCCCCTTGATGTCCCTATGGCACAGTTGTCCTCCAAGCACAGGGGACAGTTTGGGCTACCGACAGCAAAGCCTGGCCTCAGGCAGTGCCCATTTCCCATCTGAGCATCCCATCTGCAGCCACCAACGTGCAAACACCATCTCATGCATGCAGGCGCCCTCCCATATTGTCATGTGTCCCCAGGTCTGTCTGCCCTCATGGGGACATGCTCCCACGGCACCAGTGAATCCCCACCTGTCCCAGCTCCTGCCTCCAGGACCAACACCAGCTCCCAACGGGCTCTGAAGCCACCCCGGGGACACAATGCAAGGTGCTGGGGACCGGGAGGGATGAGGCTGTCCTGCTTTGGGTGCTGAGAGATGGTGGCATGAAGGGTCTTATCTGGAGTTGGGGGCAGTTGTATCCTTCCTGCCTGCCACTGCCACTCTCTTGTCCCCCGCGTGTCCCCGCAGTGCTGGCCACCAGTGCCACCTGCAGTGGAGGATGAAGGGCACCCCAATGCTCTCTCCCGGCACCGAGCCCCCAGCTAAAAGGGTGCTTTTTGCTGGTCTGCGAAGGAGGGGTGAGAGGAGGCTCCACATGCCCCAAGGCCACGGTGATGAGCACCACCACGACAGATCTGGAAGAAGGGCCTGATCCTTCCTGCACTGTCACCAATCTTGTTCAAGGGTTCAAGGGCTTCCCAAGGGCTCCTGGTGCTGCGGCACAGAGCAGATCCAGCCCCACAGCCCCGTCCCACCACGAGCAGCCGCTCCCACATCCTGCAGCCCTGGGACATCCGTGGGTCCTGTGCCCTGGGGGTGCCCCCTGCTCCTACCTGCCTGCAGCTTGCCCGGCGACCCAGGCGGCAGCTGACCCTCGAAGTTCGGGTGTCCACCGTGGGGGCCCCCAACCCCGCACGCCCAGGCAGTGACCGGCACGGTGGGCGCAGCACCGGGGCCACGGCATCGCCCATGCAGGCACGCATGCACTCGGTCGGGCGAGTGGGAGACATGCGGCTGCGAAGGGCATTCGGGAGCCCGGCGTGGATTAATCAAACCCAATCGATGCTGGGGCCCCCGTAGGGACGAGAGCGCCAATGGGGCAGCGGGAGCTGCCGACGTCGCTGACGGATGGAGAGGGGAGGGATTGGAAAAAGTGACCCAAACACAATCGTTGCGGAGGGGAATGAGGCACCGGCTGGGCTTGGGGACCAGCTCTTGTGGGGACGGTAGGGAAGGGGACAAGGCGATGGTAAAACGCTTGGTCCCAAAGCTAAGACGTGCCCAGCAGACTGGAGACAGGCTCCTATTCCTTATGTCTGGGAAAACCAGCAACACTCCCACCCTCAGAAGCCGAACCTGGCCGGACGCAGCTCTGGGGGGCTAGTTGTGAATTTGGGTCCCCAAATGCTGCTCCCCACGCTGGGATGCCAGCCCTGCCCCTTGTCCCTGCTCCTGACACCCAGCTCTTGCGGCAGAAGCAAGAGCAGGTCAAGCCCCGTTTTTTTCCACCCAGGAATTAATAAAAAGCTGTAACACCAGAAATTTGAGGCAGAAAAGGGAAAAGAAAGAACCCCCAAAAGAGCATCCAAACCAATGCAGAGCTAGGGAGCAGCTGCAGCCTTGTCACTCTCTGCTCCTTGGGGATGGAGAGGGCTGTGGGTGGCACCCTTGGGTGGCCTGGGTGGCTCTTGAGTCTCTGCGGGTGGCAGTGCCAGGTGCCCCTCATGGCGATCCCGCTGGGTGCCCCTTCCCTCTTCCCCTTCCCCCCGCGCTTACCGGCTTCTGTGGGGTGCTGGGTGCTGGCAGTGGGGTGCTGGGTGCTGGCGGGGGGGTGCTGGGTGCCGGCCGGTGAGCGAGAGAGGGAAGCAGCCGTGGGAGGGAGGAGGAGGGAGGGAGGAGGGAGCAGGGTGCGTGCGGGCTGTGGGTGACGGAGGGGGGAGGCTCCCACGGCTCTGGCTAACCCAGGCTGTTGCTTGTGCCCTGCAGGGCCCAGTGGCCATGTGCCTTCCTCCTCTCTTGCCCCGTGCTGGGGATGGGACTGGGGAGGAGTACACTGAGCTGGGGAGGGGTCCACGCCAGAGTCACCAGGAAACCCTCAAGCACAGGGGGCTGGGCAGGATCAGGCCCATGGTGCTGGCTGCAGGCAAGCACTGAGCCAGTGCCCCTCCTAAAGTGTATCCTGACAGAACTAAGCGCCCCCATCCCTGTCTCCAGCTCTCTCCTGCCCAGCTCCACCTCCACCCGCTGCCCACAGGGCAGTTCAAGGGGACTGGGAGAGGGGCCACCCACGAGATAGGACCCCAGCACGGTGGCGCTGAACCCATGGCATCCCCATGTGCCTCCAGCCGTGCCCCAGAGCCGCAGCCTGGGTAGGCTGAGCCCAGCACATTCATTGCACTTGTGACCTGCCCTTGCTGCAGGGCTGAACCACCCCCACCAGTCTGTCTGCCTTTCTCTGCCCACCAGACGGTATTTTTAGACGCCGTTAGTGGCGTCTCGACGCTGTCTCTGCCTCACCCGTGAATTATTTAGTGACCAGGAGCAGGGAGCCATGGCTTGGCAGGAGGCACGGGTGATGTTGGGGTGAGGACAGGCAGGATGCCTGCGTCCCCCAGGGCTGTGGGGAGATGTGGCAAGGAGGTCCATCTACCCCATCCCATCCCATCCCATCCCATCCCATCCCATCCCATCCCATCCCATCCCATCCCATCTGGAGATTTAAGGCAAAGGGAAGACTGACCTTTGTGGGTGCCGCATGGCTGCACCGCAGGGCCCTGCAGCCACCACCCATCAGCTCTGATCCTGTCACCCCACAGCCAGCTAATGACCCCGCATCGAGCGGCCAGTTCCACCATGCCAGCATCACCTCAGTGCGCAGAAGCAGTCCCCGGTGTGGGTGTCCCCTGTGATGGGGATAGGGGCATGGAGGGTGCTCACCATCCCACTAGGGCATTCAGGGGCTGATCCCCGGTCACTACAGTCACCCCCGGATCAGAGGGACTAAGCAGGTTTTGGGATGAAGGGGACAAGCCAGAGGGACAAGCCTAAAAACTGCCCTGTGCCATGGGGAGCAGGGAGCCTGTTTGCCATGCACAGAGGCTGCGAGGCTGAAGGTTTGCTGGCACCAAGACAGGAGGAAAATCGTGTGGAGCAGCCTGCTCTGATGGAGCAGACTGTCCATTCCAGAGGCTTTTCTGGGGTCAGATGGCTGAATTTTCATTAAATTGGCCCTCGGCTGCTGCTGGCAGGTGTCCTTAGATGTATTTTGTATATCGTGGCTCTCCCATGCCTCAGTTTCCCCAGTGGTAAGAGCTCCTGACCTGGGACTGCAGGATACAGCAGCACATTTCACACACACTGATGTCCCTGTGTCCCCTCGGTGACAGTACAGTGCCATACGTGTCCCCCACGGTGCAAGTGCGATGCCATGTGTCCTCTGCAGTGACAGGACCCTGCCACACGTGTTGGTGACAGTGCAGTGCCACCTGCTGTCTCCCAGGGGATCCTGTGACCCTCAGCGTGGCCACCCGGCATGGGGTCCCTGGCTGAGCGCCTTGGGGCCAGCAGTGCCCTGGAGGCTCCATCCCCGGCGTTGGGGGGCAGGAACCAGTGGCCAGAGCCTCCCCAACAAACCAAGGCACATGCACACACAAATGTGGACGCGTGTGTGTCCCCTTCAAGGCCACAATCACACCATGAGCCATTCATGCCTGTGTTCCCCATGGCCACAAATTACCAGAAATACTAATTTAGAGGGGAAAAAAAGAGTATTTCAGCCATTCAGAGGAAGACAAAAAAAAATCAAACACAGGGAAACTGGCATTTCCTAAGATGGAAACTCCAGGTATCGCTGCCTGCTCTGCTCCTCGCTTCCAAAAACCACAGGAATGGCTGTTACCATACTCCAGCAGCAGCACCATCTCCCCACTGCTGCCTCACTAGCATCTCACTCCCCACGTACCTGTGTGACCTTCTCAGTGACGTTCTGGGTGCGCTCCATCACCTTGTGGGGAGCAATTATCTCAATCTCTGTTGTGGAGCCCGAGCGGTGCTTCTCCAGGTTGAACTCCACAAAGTTGAGCGTGAACTGGGGGATCTGGCTGATGGTCCGGTACTTCATGAGGTCTGAGTCCGAAGTGGAGTTGGGGGGGTTGGGTTTGACGTGAGAAGCCTCTGAAAGAGGATGGAGAGGAGCATTGAGGAGGATGGTACGAGCAGGAGCCAATCCGCGGAGCCCTGATCTCAGTGCAGGACATCCAGGACCTGGGGACCACCACAAAGTGCCACTAGAAGGTACCAATATCTGCCTGGCCATAAAGGCTTGGCTTCTTCAGAGTGGCATCTGACATAGGATTCCCAACCTGAGATGCCTGAGAGGGGGTGCTTTTCAGACACTTCACCCATCTTTTCACCATTAAACCTCCTTCGGGGGGGTTAGACCAGCTGCCAAAATACACAGGCACCCAGTATCCTTTGCCACCTCTGAAGGCTGTGGCAGGTTGGGGACCAGCCCCAATGAGACCCACCAGGGAGGGATGCCAAAACTGGCATGAAAGCAGATGAAGGAGGAGGTGGGTCTCCTCCACCCTTGCGTGCTTCAGCCTGACCAACACAGCTCCTGAGGTGCTGCCTTGGTTTTTGGCCACCAAACTGAGCCAGGAGCTGGATGATGTCTCTACCTGCATGTATCCTCCACCCCCAGGCTCCAGGTAGGGAGGTCAGAGCTTTCTTTTGAAGAAGAGCTGTAGTGGGGCTGAATTGTGGCAGTTTCCCCTGGGGACCTGGGGATCTGCCTCTCTGGGTCACCACAGTGCAGGACCAGGGAAGAAGCCCCAGAAGGCTCATGGTCTTGCTTGTGGCAATGTGTAGTCATGGAGGGAGCATGTACCCACACCCAGGGCTTCAGGAACATCCCCAAGCACTGTAACCACGGTGTCCCTCTATCTCCTTTGGGTAGGGCAGGGTTATATTTTCAGCTCTATCCCTTGCACTCCGACATTGACCCAAGAGGTGTCACAGGCAGGAGGTGTCTGAAGACATTGTGAAGGTGCCCAGTTAGCCCCAGCCATCCTGCTGCCACCCTTCTTTCTGCTCATTCCCCTTTCCTCTCTCTACATTGTATTCCCTCCTGAGGGTCTGTAACCTATGACTATTTGAGGATCATGATCCCCCACCCTGTTTTCTCAAGCCAGACACCGCAGACTGATCCCTCTCCATCCCCAGTTACTGAGGCTTCTCTCTTGCCTGACCTCCATCTTATTTGTCATCATCTCTCTAGTGAGAACAAGAGATCTGGACGTGAACACCATGGTGGAGGTACATTTCCTCCAGCCCTATAGAGTGGCCTGGCTGGTGTCTTGTCCACTTCCAACACATGGACACAGCTCACATTGCACATGCCTGTAGACCCCTTCCCTCCCTCCTGGGGAGCTGGGACAGCATCGGGATGCCCCTCGTGTGGGGCAGTCAAACACAGCCTCACGCGATCTCACAGCTCACGCACAACACCACGGATGGCTCTACCCAAAGAGCAGGACCTGCCTACACAGGGAATCACATGGGGACCAGCGGGTTTTGGGGAGAAGACCCCAGCTTATCTCCACTTTGCAGACCTCCCCCCCGCCCCGAGACGTGCTGGGGCCATTGCCCGGGACCATGGCTCTCGCAATAGGACCGACAGCTCCGGGGTTTTTCCCCTACCTGAGTTTGCCCTCCTTTCCCTGAATTTTCTCTGGAACTCAGACCTCGCAGCCTCAAAGTTGTCCAAGGAGGAGACCCTGCGGAGGCTGTGGAAGCTGCCCCCAGGGCGAGACCGAAAGAAACCCCACGCAGAGTATGACCCTCGTGGGCCCAGCAAGGGAGGCTCTTGTTTCGGGGACGAGTGTTGTAGGGTGGGGTCGGCCTCCAGGCTTGGCCTCCGCTCCTTTTCCAGGAGGGATTCGGTCTCTGACTGCACACAGTTCTCCTTGGGCGATGTCTTCAAGTCCCTCAAAATCAGGGAGTCACCACCAGGCTTTAAGACAGCCGGGAGAAAGCGTTTTATTAGAAGGAGTCCTCGCGTGCTGAGGGAGAAGGAGGGGGAGCTGGGGGAGGTAAGAGAAAGGGCAGAGGGCTGGGAAGCACTGCGGTTCCTGAGGTCACCTCCAACCGGGACCAAAACTTGCTTTGCGATGGGATGACCGAGTCCTTGAGGACTGGGCAGCTCCTACCTCCTACCCACTCCTACTGAAGGCGGGGCGGCCGCGGGACGCTTTGCAAGGCGATGCTGCGCAGCTGGGAAGCAGGCCAGAGCAAGAAGAGAAGAGGAGACCCTAGGGATAAGCTTGCCTGGAGTACCTGCCTTGCTGCGCGCTTTTCCGAGGTGTCCCTACATCCCACTACTGGACAAGCCTTTTCCTCACCCGCTGCAAGAGTTCAGGCCACCACCGAGGGTCGGTGCCCGGGGGTCCTGTGCTGGCATGTATGGGAGAGGATGTGCTCTGCACCGGGAAGCACTGGAGGAGCTGCTGGGCTTGCAAATTTGGCCATACGTGGTCCTCTCTCTCCTACAGCACTCCTTGGCCATTGCTAAACCTTTTTCCCTGGAGACCTAAAGAGTTTCCAGCCTTTAACGACTTCTGCAATGGGGTGCACAAAGCAGCCACCTGCTGGGGCAGAAACCTACGGGTCTATGCCCAAGCTTGTCATACTCACAGGAGGGACCAGGATTTTGCGTTTGTGCCCAAGGCACACTGTGGCACTTCTCACTATCCCTAAGGACCTTATTGCAGGTTTTAGGATGGGGTGCTTGGAGGGGCTGGCTGCTGGCTGCTCCTGCACCTGCTAGGCTGCCCTGAGTTGGACCAGGCTCCACCAAAGTGGTGGGTCATCAGGCTGTCCTCAATGCACATCTTCCATGCGTGTACACCTGAAACATTGCAGTGCGTCATGCAGCTTCAACCTGGGGGTACCCAGAGCCTTTAGCAGTGCCGGTGTCTCTAGGAGCAACATACTGAGAACATCTGATATGTCTTCAACTTGCCATAAGTACAACCTCTGAGAAGACAGGCACCTTTCACCTCATCATATCTGTAATTTTGGGAAGCAGCTTTATCCAAGCTGTCTGGATACACCCAGCACTGTGAGAACCTGGCGCCTGGGGATGCATTAGCAGAGCAAAAGCCTCCTGCCCACAGCCCTGTGCCTCAAGCTGCAGTATTTCAGAAAATAACACGATTGCCCAGAGGTACCTTGAGCACTTTTGAGAGTCAAGAAGCCACCAAGAACAGCAATCTAAAGAGGTCCCACCAACATTTTTCCAATCTTATCAACTCAGCAATGACAGCATCACCCTCCATCATGGAAAGCACAGTCTTTGCTGAAGGACTAAGCCAGAGGTGCCTGTGCTGATCCTGCCAGGATAATGTGGGGAAATGGGCCCTTTCAAGGTTTGCCTGCAAGTCCCTGCCAGTCCCTGCTCAGAGCAGACCTCCTCCAGTCTCCCACAGTAACCGGCACGTCCCCTCGTTGGCGTGGGGACAACTCCCTGGAGCTCCACCATCCCGGACAACTTGCACTACAGATCCAGGCCTTCCTCCCAGCTTTGGCAGCGGTGCCCGCCAGCTTGGCACATCTCCCGCTCCCCCTGCGAGCCACGGCACATGCCGTGCCAGGCTGGCCCCACAGAGCAGCACCATCTAGCTCTATCCCATGCCACGGAAGCACCGCTGCTCACCGCCAGCCCTTGCCGAGGCCAGTGCTCAGCGCTGACCCAGTGCCAGAGCCCCTACCACCAGATACGGCCCGAGCCACAGCAGCCGAGGGAGAGCGGGATGGGGAGAGCGGAGGAAGAGCGCTGGGACCTGGCCTGAGGCATGGGCTTATATCAGACAAAGGCTACGGTTACCTTTCCATAGTCAATGGCTACTCCATCAAACTCACTGGTGGGCAGAGATTTCCGCTGGATTTTGAGTCGCCGCAGGGACGGGAGACTAAACTTCAAACTCCTACCTTGACCTTGTTAAAAAGAAAAACAAAACACAAGAGAGACAGATGTAACCTAGCTGCACGTGATGGCGGGAGCGAGACAGGGCGGGGTGGTGGCAGGGGAAGAGGCTACGGAGAATTTTGGGTAGCTTTGGGGGACATACGTGCTGCGTGGTCTTTCCTCCTCCAACACACTTGCTATTCCCATGCCATCACATCGCCGTGTGCTCAAGGCAGACCCTGACCTGGCAGAAAGCACCACTGGGCTGGAGGAGAGTCCCCTACAACTGTGGATGCAAGACAGGAAAGGTGCAGAGCATTCCTAAGCCAATTAGAGAGGCTAAAGCCACTTAAGGGATTTGGACCTGGAGGTAATCGAGCCTCTAAAGCTGCTTGGTGGGACTTGGGGGGGGAAAAAGTACACAAAAGAGATGGTAAGTTAGCAAGGCATTAAAAAAAGTAGTTCTAGCAATTTTGTTCCTGGAATGTTCTGGATTTTAGGGGAGGGATGCTGGAGCAAAGACAGGGGGCGTCTCTTGCTGCTATCACAGGGGACCAGGAGACCACTTTGCTGGAGACTGGGACTGGGGCAAGGGCAGCCAGGCCTGCAAGGAGCTGCAAAAGAGCTTCAGGAGAGGAAGGGGCCAGACATGGAGAGGAACCGGCAGTGCCCACAGCGGGACCCAATGTCCCTGGTTGTGACACCCGGTACAAAGTTGCTCATCCTCTTCTAGTCCTGGTCCACAAAGGAAAGTGTGGCTGCCTGCGACTGCAGGGTTAATGTGAGCAGCCAGGCTCACACCCTGCTGCCCCGGGGCCCAGGTCAGCCCTGGGGTTCATCCAACCCCTGGCAGCACCAGTTGTACTCACTAACTGGACCAAAAGTGGCCTAAATCCCAGGGATACGACACGAGCTCCGCAAAGGCATTGTCCGCTGGGAAAAAGCAGCACATTGAGGGGCTGTTTGGCTTTGGCAGGATTTGCTTCCCTCACTGAGATCTGAAACACTGCTGAGCCACTCGGGCAGGCTCTCGACCTTGTCCAGCTCCCCAAAAATGCCCCTGCCAATGGGGGGACCTGCGCAGGCTCCCTCTGCTCACCCCATCCCCGCTGCCCAGAGCAGCTTTTCAGCTGGAAGAAGCAAAGCAGCCGCCTTCCCCTGTGCACCAGAGAGCCAGGGACCAGCAACAGAGCCGCCTGCAGCCGTGTAATTAAAGACTGAGTCAGAAAACCCGTGCACGAGAGACCGATCTGGGCTGGTGCCAGCAGCTCTGGCCTTTCCGCGCTGCCCGGCGCTGGAGCGGGACACCCGCACAACACTCCTCGGGATGCGCAGCGCAATCTCCACGTGCAGGAAAGCGATAGGTACCCTTTTTATTTGGGTGCCTTCTGCAGCCAAAGGTACGTCTCAGGGTACGGAGGCATCATATGTGGAGACGTACTGAGAGGTGAGCGGGCTGCAAAGCAACACCGGTGCTGGAATTTAGGATTTCCTCAGCAGTCCATGCAGAGGCCAACTGGTACTAAAGCAATACACCAAAACCATAAATCTTATCACTTCATAGACACAGGAACACATGCACAGGTTATATATACATTCACACGCATATGTCCATGAGTCCTGTGGGCATATGTCTGGCCTGAGGAGGTACAAAACCCATCACCGCACAGAGCTCCTCCGCTGGTACCCGCTGCCCCGCATGCAAACACCTTAACGGCCCCGGGATGTACCTATGCACCGAGTGTGAATGTATTAAGACTCATTACTGTACCGTAACAACGGGCAGCGTGAAGGGTCCCCATTGGTCCCCAATGCAGCCCTGGCCCAGGCACCAGTCCCAGTCCCGCATGCCACCCCACATGCCGTGGGGGGACAGACTTGGGCTGCTCCCACAGCTTTACTTTGAGGCCTGCCCAAAGCTTTCCTATAGCAACCCGCGTTCCTGGGGAGTGTTTGCACGGAGATAGATGTAGGATTATTTCCCTGACTAAAATACAGATGACTGGCACCAAGGGCCATATAGCAGGAGGATACTTAGAAGCTACATCTCTCCTTCCCGTGGTCAGGTCTACCATCTGCATCCCTGGGTATCCACATCCCCTTGAGAGCCTCATCACGGCTTCCCTTTGATCCAGCTTTCCCAAAAAAGGGAGGGCGAATTTTCCACTGCCTCCAAAAGCTCCACAAAACCCCAGGATGAGGCTGGGAAAGCGAGGAACAGCCCAAAGCTGGGGCAGACTCAGAGCTGTCTCAACGCAACCATCTTCGTGGCATTTGCCTGCGGTGATGTCCCCATAGCACAGCCATGCTGTTGGTGACACCAAATGTCCCCTGGCCCTCCCGGTGACACCACACACAGGTTCTGTCCCATATGAGCACCTCCTGCCCTGGCTAATGCACTGCTGCAGGCACGCAGGAGGGGCCCAAGGCGCTGCTGGAAAAAACCTCCCAGCATTAAATATGGAAAGGACGCAGCAAGGTGGGGGTGTGCGGTGGGGCTGCATGGCTCCGCTCACAGCGAGACACCCTCTCCTTAAAAATGCACCATCCCATATGAGGGGGTTGGTCCCTACCGCTGTCCCCAGGCCCCTGGGGGTTCAGGAGGTGTGTGCAGGCTGGTGTGCACGCGAGGGTCTGTGCAGGGAGCACAGCCGGCTCAGATGGACTTTTTCGGTCCCTACCGCTGTCCCCAGGTCCCTGGGGGTTCAGGAGGTGTGTGCAGGCTGCTGTGCACGCGAGGGGCTGCACAGGGAGCACAGCCGGCTCAGATGGACTTTTTTCACCCAGTTAGTGTTTGTCCAGACCAGTCCCCGAGCCGGCAGAGCTGCGGCCGTGCAGAAACACAAACCTCTGCTCCTGGGTACTCTGTGGGGCTCAGCCCCACGGTGCAGGATCCTGTGCTGCCATGGGTGCATCCTTCAGCCCCCATGAGCTCCCGAGAAAACAAAACCACGGGATGGGGATAGCCCTGAGGATGCTGTGCTGCCCTCCCCCCTGTCCCCACCGTCCCCGGTGACACCCACCTCCACGCCAGCTCTGCGACAGGCGCCGGTGCAGGCTCCGGCCGGCGCTCTTGGCGATGAGCTGTGCCAGGTCCTCGAAGTTGAGGATGAACATGATGACGACGCCATCCTCGTTCTTCACCGGCACCACGTCCACCAGGCAGCGGAAACACGAGGCTGCCGAGCAGAGACAGGCTCAGGGGGGGCTGCACAGGGGCTCTGCCCACCCATCCACCCCCCAGCATAAAACACTGGGTAGAAAAGTATTTTTAAACGCTTTGGTGGGTGTAATCCCTGCTGATGGGGAGTGGAGGGTGGGCCATATCTCTGCAGCATCCCAGCTCGCCCAGATCGCATCTTGCTTTTTTTTTTTTTTTTTTTTTTTTTTTTTTTTTTTGTGCCAGACAGTCATTTATATTAACATACTTGAGAGCAGCAATTAAAGAGCAGGTAATTAAGAACTCAGAAAGTCCCAGGTAGTGGTTTAACCTCATTAAGCATGCTGCTTGTAATCACGCCGTAACGAATCACCTTGTAATCGCCAGGCAGGTTTTGGGGACTGACTTCAGCTGTCTTGGGTCCTGGATGTGGGCCATGGGGGTGAGCCTGACCACATGCCCCGTCCCGACCCTGGGCAGCAGGACGTGGTGGGATCGGTGTGATGGTCCTCAGGGACATCCCCTGAAGGCATGGCATGGAGTGCTCAGGCACAGCCTTGTCTCATTCCTGCCGTGGGGAAACTGTGGCACGAGGGGGGCACAAAGACTGGCTCAGTGTCCTGGGAGTGAGGGGGGATGCAGGGAGGACCCCAAACATGGCCACAGGGCATGAGGCCATATGGATTTGCCTGTTGGATGCCAGCTTGACCCCATGGCTCTGCTTCTGCTGGCAGCAAGGCACCAGTTTGCAATTAAGGGCACCCAAAAATACCTGCAGGCCTTTCCCAAAGCAGCAAGTGGAGGATACAGGGGAGTTCCCACCTCCCTTGCCAGCTTTATTCCCCCCAAATCCTTCAAAAACACTACCTGAAGGTATAATCACTATGAATCCCTTCCTTGAGATGCCTCAAGGCACTGGTGGGAGCAGGAGCCCCCCAGCTGCAGCCGCTGCTGCAACCCCTCTGGCAAAACCCCCTGACCACCACTCCAGGCTCCTACCCCAAACCTCCTAGAAATAATGGAGCAACCAGGTACCACTGCCTGGCCGGTACGGAGCAAAGCAACCTCCTTCCACGGGAGTTTTTGCCGGGTGCGGATCCCTCATCTCGCCTTTCCCCCACGCTCTGATTCCCAGGGATTACGGGATCCGGCAGGGATGTGCTGCCGGCCCGATCCAGTGCTCTCCTGCTCTCGCCGTGGCCAAGCTCTGGCCGGGAGGGGGATGTCAGCCTTACTGCGTATAATTTTAAGGAGCTCAGGGCCTCCCGTAATCAGGAGCAGATGGCCGGCATCGGGCAACTTCAAAATCTGCCGTGACGTCAGGGATGTGCACATACACAGACACACACACACATGCACAAGAACGGGAAAGAAATGGATACGGTGAAATCCATTTAAAGGGCCCAGCAGCCAGGATTATTTCTTTCTTTCTTTATTTCATCGTTGTTCACCACAGGGAGAGGAAATCCACTTAAATGCGTGAGCTGGGGAGGAGGCGGGGGGGATTTTCAGCAGATAAAGCTGTTTCGAAGGGACGCCCGGGCACGCTGTGGGCTATCCGTGTGCGGAGCCAGCAGGGATGGAACGAAACGAGCCCTGTTCCCTCCCTTTGTCAGGATTTGCAGGGATCTAAAAGGCGAGCGGTGGCCTTGAGGTGGTGCCGAGCGAGTGAGGTGTCCTGCGTGATGCTAAGGTGGCACATGCCCGGCGGGATGATGGGGTGCCATCCCTGAGATGCCGTGGCTCTGCTGGTGCTGGCATTGGTGTGTGCAGGGGGTGTGAACATGTGTGCCCGCTCGCCTGTGCGTGTGAAGCCCAGCGGCACTGGATGCTTTCTCCTTCGGTGTGTTGTAAAATGAGGGGTTTTGTTTTCCCCTGCAGGTGATTTCAAAGCATCACCAACTCCCCTGGGACTCGCAGCCCAGCAGGGTCCATTGGCATGGGCAGCCGTCAGCTCCATGCTTCCCCCCCCTGGACTGGGAATCCTGATCCAGATGGCCTGATCCTGGCTCACGAGCTCTGCCCTGCTGCTTCTCTTTCACCACTTTTCCTTCTTAAGCCCCTCTGCGGTGGTGGTGGGGGATGGCCTTTGAGGTGTTCTCATGGGGGCCGGTTCCTGGCAGGCCCTGTGTGGCATGGAAAGGGTTAATCCCATGACTGATGCTGAACAGCTGAAAACTAGGCCCAGTTACATCCAGTTGGAGGGATACAAGGAACAGCTGGGAGGTGGCTAGGGCTGGGTTTGGGAGGCAGCTGGTGCCTGGTTTGATCCCCCAAATCTGGGAGGTGCTGAGCCTGAGCAGCCCTGGCTGACGCTGCTGCGAGGCCCCATGCTGATCCCTTCTTAAATTAAATAGAACAGACTATTTCTGTTGGAAGGGACCTTCAATGATCATCTAGCCCAACTGCCCGACCAATTCAGGGCTGGCCAAAAGTTAACTGGGTGCAGGACCCTCCAAAACCAGGGGAATCACCCCAAAAGTGGCCCTGCCAGACACAGCCCTGCTTGCCAGGAGCTTGGTGCCTGGCTCAGATCCGCACCCCATAGCATGGATGGCATCAAGGGGATGACGGAGCATCAGGGCAGGGGCTGGGAGCAGTGGGTTCCCTTCAGTTTGGCCCAAAGACAGGGCAGTCCCCCAGGATTTGGGGTCTCTGGGCAGCTGTGATGTGGGGTACCCCCAGCTCTGTGGAGAGGCTGCAGCTGGGAGACCCCTGGCACCCTCAGCCCTGACTTGGTTTCCCTGCGGCAAGCCAGATGCCGAGCCTCCTCGTCGCTCCCCCCAAAAACTGGGCACCCCAGGCCTGCTGCGGTGCCAGTGGGCTGAGCCGACCCCAGGAGGGACCCCAGCCCTGCGCTCCCATCCTCGTTCCTCGATCGACTGTCCCCATCCATCTGCCCGTCTCTTCCCTTCAGCTGTTCGGCTAATCTGTCTCCATCCATCTAATTTTATCCAGCCGCCAAATGATCTCTTGGAGGAGCCCTGGGGGCATTCTCAACCTGCCTGCGCTCCCTGGCCACTGCCGTGGGACTACCGGTGCGCCCACCCGGGGTGAAACCCAGCCTGGGGGGCTGCGGAAAGAGCTCGGCAGGAGGGATGCGATATGGATGCTGTTTTGGAGGGTCCCACGCCCAATGCAATGGGTTTGCATGGGCTGGGAAAAACAGCTCATTCCCTAAAACTCGGGGCTGGGTTTGATCTTCCCAGCACCCAGCCCACCTCCCTCAAGCCGAGCCCTCGGAGGTTTGCGCTTTCTGACCCATCTTGTCTTCTGACCTTGATAAAAGCAAGCACTTAATAACATTAAAAATGTCATCGTCGGGGGCCCTCCCTCCCCGGCCCTCTTATCCTCCGCAGCCACCGGTGGTTAATGCATTTGTTGGTATCATCAGTATTAAACTAATCAACAGGACACGGGGGTTTCCGAGAGCCGGACACAAACCAGTATTGTTATGAATATTAAAAAAGCAAGCTATTAATCTGCCCTCGGAGCTCTTACCGAGTCCCTCCCTCCCCCCGGCCGGGAGATTTAATCTGCAGGGTCTCATGGCAGAGTGGCTAAATCTATAGTGGTATTATATAACGGAGCAGAGGAGAGGGGCTGGGAAGGGCACGGAGGGGACGGGGACAGGGATGGGGATGGAGCCGTGCTCCGCGGCTGGCTGGCACGCCTGGGGAGATGCTCAGGGGAGGGCTGAGCCTTGCTCCCATCCAGGGATAAATCTGCCAGGGTGTGGTAGAAACTTCAAAGGGAAGCGCAGATTGCTGGGAGGGCCTAAAGCAAATCCTTGAGGCGGGATGGAAAATGATGGAGGTGGGGGCTCAGCAGGCAGGAGATGGGTCTCCCTTGGGGTCTGAGGTGAGTGATGGGTGCTGGGGAGATCCTGCACCCAGGTCTGCACCCTCCTGCACGGGGAGGGGATGTGTACTGCAGGGTGTGCCCCTCTCCCCGCATTCAAAAGGGGCATCAGGAGCCTGAAACCTGCTGTGACACCAGACTGGCAAAAATGCTCCTTGCAGCAACCCCCAAACTGCTAAAATGACCTTATTAAGTAACGGCCGTGGGATGGAGGGTACCCCCTGTGCAGTGAGGAATAGCAGGGCTTTCTGGGCTTAGCAGGGAGCTCGCTGCTGGAAAGCAGCAGTAGAGAGGGAAAACCAGGAGCGTTGGGTGGCTGAGGGTACCTGCCAACAACGAGGTCAGAAGCAGCCCAGCAGGGTGTTTTGGGATGCAGGTGGAAGGATGCTCTGATCCCCGGGAGCCAGAAGGGGTCCCAGATCAATACAGGGGGGTGGCAAAACACATCTTAACCTCTGCTGCAAGAAAAGCGAGTGGCCACATGCAGGCCCATGGTCCTTCCCTTGCTAAATCCCCACCGGCCACAGGAATTAGTCCATCTTAGCACGAGGCTGTGCGGCCAAAGCTGCAGTGCTGACAGCATTTCCCAGGGCTGTCCGGCCATCCTGAGGGCCCTGGCCCCATGACACATGGAGTCACTTCCCACTGGGGATGCAACAGCCAGCGAGGATGGGGATGGAGGGTTTGGGGTGGGAATAAGGGCTCTGCTGGGGCAGGGATTGCAGGAAAAGCCTCCTGGGAAGCATCCCTGGGGGTGCTGGGGATGCTCTGGATTTGCCCCTCCATTTCTGGGACATCTGGGCCAAGCACAAAGCATCCAAGGAGCAGCAGAGGATGGAAAAACGTGTCTCTTCCAGCTTTGTGCCCTGATTATGCCACCCCTGGGGCAGAGCTGGGGCAAGGGGATAGCCGGAGCTGCGGCGCCGCCGTGCCGAGGATGGCAGAATTGGCCCCACAGCGCGGGATTTCTGGGACTGAAGCATTTGTCATTGCGAGGCGGGATGTTTATAAGTCCCCATCTGGAGTCAGGCCATGGTGTCTGTCCCTTTCCCAAAGTCACAGCCCAGCTCTGCTGAGCACGACCCTTAAAGGAATGCAAAGCAAACAGCCCCAGCTTGGCTTAAACCCCACATTTTTGTACAAGCAAAGAGCTCAAGTTGGGGTTGGGGTTTTGTCAGCTGGCCGTGCTTCCCTGCTCCTCTGCCACGCAGGAGGTTGCCTCCGTCCTGCCTTGTCCACCCCATGGGGCAGCAGTGGAGGCTCCGTGGGGCTGCTGGCACCAGCCCCTAGCCCTGAGGGTGCCAGTCTGGCAACAGCCGGTGGGATTTGCCGTCCTGCTTCCAGTGAGCCCATCGGGCATGTCACACATTGCTGTTTATAAAGCTGTACAGAGAAACCTTGGCTGGATCCATCCCCACCTGCCTTAGCCAGGGCTTCCTGGCAGCAGCTGCTGGAGAGGTGATTGCTGTGCCATGGATGTTCCCTGGGCTGGGGACAGATCACCTGAGTCCCCCTGTCCCCTCTGGGTGCGGTGACACCCTGCAACCCATGCCTTCCTGGCTGCCAGCCCCGCAGCTGCCTGCTCAGGCACCCCACGGGGACCTGCGGGGGGACATCCTGGGTGACACCGGGTGCCCCAATCGCTCTGTGACCTCCCCCCTCCTCCTGGAGCCCCCGGGGGAAAATCCCAGCTTACAGCACCAGTGCAACGAGTTTGCTGGGTTGATCTGGTCCCTAATCCCTGGCCCCAGGGGACCGACACAAACCGCTCCTGCTGGAGGGGACGGGG